AATTCTCTAAATGCTACAACTCACTTTCTCTGTTCATTTGATAGGCAGTTGAACATCCCTGGAAAGAATATAACAAAGCTAAGCAAATTGCTTTACTACAACTCAGAGATTTACATTTGGGCTGGGCTCCCAGTATAATCTGTCAATCCTTTTGTTTATTTATGGTTAGTCCTTTTTTCTATTCTGTCAATGATATTCCAGGCTTTCCTAATTTTTTTAAAACACCATGTTGCCCTAGCCAGTTTGGCTCAGTGGATAGAATGTGGGCCTGTGGACCGAAGGGTCCTTGGATCAGTGCCTGAAAAGGGCATGTACCTCAGTTGCAGGCTTGATTCCTGGCTCTGGTTAGAGGCCTGTGCAGGAGGCAAACAATTGATGTGTGTCTCTCACATCGATGTTTCCCTCTCTTTGTCTCTCGTCCTCCCTTCCACTCTCTCTAAAAGTCAATGGAAAAATATCCTCCAGTGAAGATTAACATATAAGTACAACCAATGGACATAAAACTCTGGGGAGGGAGGGGATGTGTGGGAGGGGGGGGGGGGGCAAAAAAATCAATAAAATATGTAAAAATAAATAAAAAATAAAATAAAAATAAATAAATAAAGTAAAAAAATAAAATAAAATAAAATAAAATCCCATTTTGCCTTTACTTGTTCTTCCTTTGCTGCTTGGTCACTTAATGGTAGAATCTGGAAGGTTCAATCTTGGATCTCTTTTTTTCCTTTTTGTGGTAATTTCATCTAGTCTCATGGTTTTAAATACTATGTATAGGTTAACAACCCTAGTAATTTAATCTCCAGCACAGACTTTCCTCTAAACTTGACTCCCTATACACATTCTACTTGGATGTTTATTTCAAACTTGATATTTATTCTCAAACAAGCTTTACCTATTGTTTTCCCATCTAGTGAATAACTCATGTTTTAAGAAATGACTGACATAAAAAATGTTGACCTAGTCTTGACTCTTGTTTATCTCTTATATCCTACATCTAACTTTTCAGCAATTTCTAAGATTTTCCTTTAAAATATAGCCAGAAGTTTACACTTCTGATTACTATTATTGCAGCAACTTGAGTGCAAACTACCATTTTTTCTCCCATGGGTTATTGCAATAGCTTTATAGCTAGTATTCATAGTGTATAAGTATTGGAAATACTATGTATTTTACAGAGTTTTTGTTTTTTTTCCTTTTCTTTACTCTCTGTTCACTAGAATGTAAATTCCATTAGGGTAGAGGTTTTTGTTCACTGTGATATTACCAATCCTACAGAAATACCTCACAGTTAATAGGCATTTGATAAGACCTGTTCAATAAATGAAAGTAAGTATAACTAAGTACAATGTTCAAGTGAATATTGTTTTTAATAAGAACATAGTATTAGGACTGAAGGCCACATAAAATAACAAAGATGTAGGTGAGTGAATAGATGTGTGATGGGGACCTTGGAAAATCTTCTCCGATTGCTTTAATTATCTTAATGGAATGAGAAACAAAGTCATCAACTAAGAGTGATACTAGGGGAGATATTGAGGGTTTGAAAAAAGAAAAAAATGTGAGTTTTCTAGGCAAGTAGAAGAGTGAATGGGCTATGGAACCATAGTATGATTATAGAGCAGCACTGTAAGGTATGCTTGAGGTTCAGAATCATAAAAATTTGAAGTAAATCAGTAAGCACAGTCATGTGATTTTTCCATAACCACATTCACCTCTGTGATTCAGGGGTAGAATAGGCATGGGGTCCGATTTAGTGAGAACTGTGACTTACCTACTCAGGAATGATAATGTGAGAGGGTGGTATGCATGGGAGTAGTTGTGGTAAATGCATGCTGATTATAAAAAAGAAGTATGGGAAAATCTAATGTTGGAAGAATCAGTAGATTTTCATTTTGGTGGGATCCACGAAGTGTTGGAGTTAGAAAACTGGAGTGAGAGGTATAGGAAGAAAAGAAGGAGTGGTCATAGAATGAAAAAAAAAAAAAAAACACATAAAAATATGGGGGGACCATTGGTTTTTATCTAGGCTAGGAATGTGAGATGCAAGGAGAGTAGAGGCAACACAATACTAGAAAATTTATCCATGGAATCTCTATATATAAAAAGCCAGTGACCGTAATGCTATACAGATCATAAAGGCTGATTACTATGATACCCACTGTGGCCAGCAAACTGGCTGGATCAGGGGGTGGGGCCAGCTGGCTAACCTTGTGGCCTTGCCCCCCTGCCTGCCAGCCCCCGATTGGACTCACCCTCCCTGATCAAGGGCAGCCCACCAGCCAAACGCACCTGCCCCTTTCTTCTGGCCAGTCCTGCCCCTGATTACATCCCCCACCCCAATAAGGGATGGGGCTGGCCGTTTAACCTTTTTCAGCCCCTCCACCTGGCCAGCCCCACTCCTGATGGGTTCCCACCACGCTGATTGGCCTACAGCCCCTCCCCATGACTCCCCTCCTGATTATCCCCCCATCTCAATAGAGCCGGGTAGCTGGCCAACCTCCTGCAGCCCCTCCCCTTACTTAGCCCCACCCCAGATCGACCCCCCCCCCCCAACTCGATCAGGGGCAGGACCAGCCATCTAACCACCCACAGCCCCTCCCCATGGCCAGCCCCGCCCCCAATCAGTCGCCCAATCCCAATTGGGGTCAAGGCCCACTGGGCAATTGCCCATGGCCCCTTCCCCCAGCTAGCCTGGTCCTGATCAGGCCCCGGATTGGGGCGGGCTGGCCAGTCAACCTCCCACCATCTCCTCCTCAGGACAGGCCCAGCCCCAATCAACTCCGTTTGGGGCCCGGGCTAGCCAGACCCCACCCGTGCATTCCTGCATTGGGACTCTGGTATAAAATAATTAAAAGCATAGTGTAAGAGATAGTAGATTGAGCCAGGAACTTAATCTTTAAAGAAAAGAGTTTGATGTAGATATGGGCAGGTAACTGTGAAAAGGAGAAGTAAGGAGTGTTCTACATTGATGACACGAGATTCAAAGCTGGAAGTTTTTAGGTAAGAGGAAGGAAGAGGAATGATTGAAAGCATTAAACAGGAGTAAGGAGCATACTTATTTTACTCCCATGTCAATGTGAGAGAAAACAGCTACCACTGAGAGAGCTTCTTGGGAAGGAGAGTCCTTCAGGGGGAACCATGGTTCAGTTAGAGCTAGAATATTTAGGGAAGAAGTTAAGAGTATGGAGGGTTTTGTGATAGCTGACCGAATCCCAGTGTACAGGGAAAGTATAACGAGTTTGAGCATGGTACAAGATGGGAACAAAACTAGGGGTATGTATAGCATATGGAGATTGAGGGATGATGCAGAGGTCTGGATTTTCACAGGGACAGAAGTGATCAGTGTTAAAATCCATGTTGAGATAAAGTCCAAGTTGTCTGAGGCATAGAAAGGTAGTACAGCTTAAAGGGAATGGGAAGTTAGGATTTTGCCAGGGCATATCATATATATTTAATATTCTCTTTTATTTCAGAGAGGTAGGAAGAGGTAGAAGGAGATAGAAACATGAATGATGAAAGAGAATCATTGATTGGCTGCCTCTTGCACTCCCCCTACTGGGTTTGAGCCTAGAACCCAGGCATGTGCCTTTGACTGGAATCGAACCCAGGGCCCTTCAGTGCAGGCCAACGCTCTATCCATTTAGCCAAATCATCCAGGGTCATATTACATATTTTTTGACAGAGGCATTGAGGCAGCAAAGCAGCAGTATTACTCCGACTAGATAGAGCTAATTCTGTCATGTACATTGATTATATAAAAATGATCTCCCTCACCTTCCCACTTCTCCACTCCATTAGATGTATGACCTTTTTTCAATTTAATTCATTTTCTCTGGACTCCAAGGAGACCATGTTCCTTTTCTTCTTTCTGTAACTTATTCTGCCTGCTTCTTCCAAGATCTTGCTCTGCTTTTATTTTCTACTGGTTCCTTCCTTCATTCTAAAGATATGTTCAAGTTTATCCCATTACAGACCAAAAGGCATCTCCTTGACTCTGCTTCCCTATCTGACTACTCTGAATCTTTCTCCTTACTTCTCATCCAAACTTCAAAAAAGAAATCCACGGCATCATCTTCTGTTTCTCCCTTTTCATTTAATCCTCAAGTGATTGCAGTTGGCTTTTTGTCCTTGTGTCCCTTCAAAACCAGAATTATCTATCTAAAAATCTTGTGTGAATATGTCATTTCCCAATCTTTAATGGTTCTCTAGTGGCAATAAATAGGACACAATAAAGCATGATCTATAACCCACTGCTGCTTTTTCCCATGCTTTCTCTCTGCTGGTTTTCTCAGCCCCAGACATCATTACTTTCCTCTTCACTGGGACTTCAATTTCAGGTGTGTTTTTTTTTCTCTGAGATTTTTAGGTTGGGTAGATAACCCCTCTCACTTTTCCCTTAGTATTCTGTGCACACTCTTTTTCTACTTGTGAGTAATGGTCTATTAACTGTTTCCTATTCACTGTTTTATCCCTAGCTCCTGATTGCCTGCCACATAAAAAATACTGAAATTTATTTATGAATAAATAAAGAATGAATGAAAAATATATCCTTTAGCAGGCATTCACATCCTGATAGCCAGAAAAGCATACTTCCAATTTTGAATCCACATTTAGCATTCTCATTATTGATAAATGTTAAGTTTCTTGAAAGCTTAGTGATTATGAGTCCAATTGAACCTGCTAAACCAGGGTTAAAAGGATAAAAGTCCATTTGAAACAGACTGGAAGCTGAGTTTGTGATGAACCCACCGAGATAGAGATGCCCCATAATATTCTAGCACATCAACTTGCCAACTGTTGTTTTGTTGTCATCCCCATACAACAGGATCTTCCTGATGCACTATGACTATTTTTATAGCTGTTTTCTTTGGCATCCATATACACGACCACAGGACAATAGGCAATTTATCAAAATAAGTGAGATAAATATCCTGGTGTATAGAGAAAAAGTCAAGATGAACCTTTGACAAGACTGAAACTCTAATTTATTACATGTCTCATAGGTCTCTTCTGGTGATTCTGAAGCCAAACCTCTGATCTTCACATTTGTCCCCACTGTCAGAAGACTACCAACCCACTCTCAGTTGGCTGACACCTCTAAATTTCTTGTTAAAATTCCTGAGGAACCAAGTGATAAGAATCCAGAAACTGTAAATAGGGTAGGATTATTTTTATTCTTTTTTATATCAAGCAAATAACATTACATCATCTTAGAAGTTTGAATGGGTGTTTATTTCTTCCACTTAAAGTGAGATGGCTAAAAAATCTAAGGTTGACTAAAATTATAATTGTGTAACAGAAACTTAAATGTAATTTGATCCCAGGTTCTCTCTAATACATTATTCTTTCCCCTCTCCCCCTTTTAAAAATATATTTTATTGATTTTTTACAGAGAGGAGGAGAGATGGATAGAGAGCTAGAGGGCTAGAAACGTTGATAAGAGAGAAACATCGACCAGCTGCCTCTTGCACACCCTCTACTGGGGATGTGCCCGCAACCAATGTACATGCCCTTGACCGGAATCGAACCTGGGACCTTTCAGTCCGCAGACCGATGCTCTACCACTGAGCCAAACCTGTTTCAGCTATTCTCACCCTTTTGAGTTGATATTTTATCATTTGCCTCCTGCCACCTCCCTTTCTCTCAAATGCATTTTAAATTATAAAAACAAAACTAAAAAGAAATTTATATTTATTTAGAAAGAAAATGCAAGATAAAACAGTGAGGTGCTACTGTTTACATGTAATAATTGGAAATATTAAAAAATATTGTGGGGGCCATTGTGGAGATATTCACATGGCTCACATTTTATTGCTAGTTATGTGAACATGTACAATTTTGGTGGAAAACCTTTATCCACTATCATAAAACTGTTCATAGCCTTTCAATAACCTGACTCTTTGAAATGTAGCCCCAAAAATAGAACAAAAAAGAAAAATGTCATATAAAAAATATTTAGTAAAAAATAAAAACAGCATAATACCAGAAAAGTTAGGAATATGATAATACCTCACCTTGGCAAACATAATTATGGTGATTATATAAATTCATAGAAAATGTTAACCTTATAATATGTCAAAAATAGGCTATAAAATTGCATTTATACCCTGATTATACCTATCTAAAATGCGACCAAGACTGAAGATAAAATTAAGACAAAATGGACAGAAATCTGAAAATGACTTGTATTAGAAAAGTAAATGATATGTCAGTTAAAAAAAAATCTCCTTAGAATCTGTTTCAATATTGTCTTATTTTAAATAAAATGTGACTGGGGAACTTTGTGGTATTCTTGAATCAACTGGAAGGGCATAAAATAATCTGATTTACTTTCTATGAAAACACCTTATCTAACAAGTAGTAATATATTTGGGATTCTGGATATTTCAATGCTATCTTATTTCAAAGACCATTATGGCTAAATTAAGTTAGAAAATTTCTGAATACTGCATAAGGCACTTCTGGTGAGCTTCTAACTGTAGTCAACTACATATAATATATTAATGGGTTGCTTTGTTGTTAGGCACTATGATTATGTGAGACTGTAAATATATGAACCAATTTTGGTTGCAGATCTCCAAAGCTTTCTAGGATGATGATAATCATCTGATGTTTGCAATGATACACACAGAACTACATTGTTAAAATGAGATTGAAATTTTTTCCTTTCTGTTTTTTTTAAAACAGTTCAGTATTATAACAGTTCAGTATTCACAACTATTTACTGAGTGTGTTACATGCTTGGTGCTATGTATTCTGAGTGAATCAAGTCAACTCATAACTTATTTGTTATTGGGAATACAGGCAATGAAAAAACTGAAAAAATATATAATAAAGTCTCAAGTAGTGATAAACGCTGTAAAAATGCTTCAGAATAAAGGAATAGAGAATGATAGACTATGGGGGAATGGGCTATTTTAGATCATTAAAAATGTTTTTAAAAACTAGTTCAATTTTTTGCCATTTTTTTAGTTATTCCATTACTTTTCATAATAAGAAATTTGTCATTGAATACTTCTATGTTATTTTAAACCCTTCCAATTTGGGGGGTTGTTATTATAGAGCATTGTAATTAACATGTGAAGTGACTATTATCAGAGAAATCCTAATCAGAGGCAATTTGTATTCTATCTTGACCTTACCAGCACAAGCTGAAAGGTGTGAAATGAGTGTGTAGTCAACTTCTTAACTTAGTTACACCTAATCAATGATTTGACTTCTATTCTGTCTTTTACACACAGAACACATACGTACCTATTATCACACATTATATTGATGACCACAGCTAAAATTACTTTAATTTAATTAACATCTTTTTTAACTTTTATTTTGAAATAATTTTAAACTTAAATATAAGAGAAGAATATTAACCACTTGGGGCTCAGTAAATGAAATTTGTGCACGAGGGAGGGAATCCCTCAGGCCAACTTACACCCTCTCGCAATCCAGGACTGCTGGCTCCTAACTGCACCTGCCTGCCTGCTTGATTGCTCCTAATCACTCACTTGCTTGCCTGCCTGATCACCCCTAATCATTTGCCTGCCTGCCTCATCACTCTTAAGCATTATGCCTGCCTGCCTGATCGCCCCTAACCACCTCTCTCTCAATTCCTGCCACAATGGCTTCATCCAGAAAGATTTACAGAATGACGTCCGAAAGGTCCTTCAGCTGTCCAGTCTAATTAGCATATTATACTTTTATTATTATAAATAGTATGGTTATCAAAACCAAGAAAATTAATGTTAGGTCTTTTAAACACAATCTTAGCATAGCACAGCTACTATCATTTTAGAACAAAGTATTTTGGTAGGATGATAAAGCTGTCTTACTTCTGGTCTTATGAATCTTCTATATGTTCATAGAAAACTGGATGGGAAAAGGTATAGAATTACAAATCCAAAATAAAATAACAATAAAAAATACTTTGTACTGAAAATATCTATCTTTTTTTTGGGTGTCCTATTCATAAGTTCTTCCCAATTAGCTTAGATTGTTTTGAATATCTGTGAATTTTGTTTCAATTTAAATTTTCCTCTCAGATTTTTAGAGAGATTTATATTATTTTAGAATGTTTCAATGGGATTTCTTCTCTACCCCTTTTATACAGACTATACAGGTTTTGCTTGACCATTAGACCATTAGCTAAACCTTTTATGAGTTTCCCTTTGTTTCATGAATGTCTTTATGGAAAACATTACTCTCTTCATCTCTTTTTACAAAGTCATCTCATCATTTATTTGAAAGCAGGTTTGTTTGTTGATGTTGATTCTGAGGCCTACCGTGTTTGAGTTTGGGCCAGGACAAACAGGTGGGCTAATAAATGTAAACCGTTAACTTCAACCTAATCTTTCTTCAGCAAACCTGATCTTTAAAATATTTTTAGAAATTCTTGCCCTTATGCAGACTATGCTTTTAAGTTTACATACAAAAAGGTAGCATGTATCAAACTGATGTCAATGCTTTTATTTATTACAGTCTAATTTCAGTGAGTACTTGACCTTGAAAGCTGGGAGCCAACAGCAGAGTGACGGAGGGACATTGACTTATCCTTCAGAGGTCATTGGAAAGATATCAAAAGTAAGGGAATTTAAAGTGAGCGAACCCCAAGGAATGCAGCAAAGTGGCCTCTTCAAAGCTGAATATGTCTTTATTGTGGACTCTGAAGGGGAAGATGAAGCTACAAGCAGAAAAGTTGAGCAAAACCCCCCAGGGGGGACGGGCACCACAGCCACTCGGCCTACATCTCTGGCAATCTCCTCCAGTCCGGTCTTTGATGTGGTGCGTCCCAAAACACGGGCAGCAAACCTCCAGGCTCCATCACATCCTGAGATGCCTCAGGGGATGGCTTCTCAACAAAAGCATGGGCAGGTAGGTTTTTCTTCTTAAAAGAAAAATATATATTGTTTATACACCCTTTGTTTTAGACTTTTCTTGTCAAGGTATACAATACTCAAAGAAAAAGATGCACTGAAACCGGTTTGGCTCAGTGGATAGAGCGCTGGCCTGTGGATTGAAAGGTCCCGGGTTTGATTCCGGTCAAGGGCATGTACCTTGGTTGCAGGCACATCCCTAGTAGGGGGCATGCAGGAGGCAGCTGATCGATGACTCTCTCTCGTAGATGTTTCTGACTCTATTTCTCTCCCTTCCTCTCTGTAAAAAAATCAATTAAATATATTTTTTAAAAAAGAAAAAAAGAAAAAGATGCTACAAAACCAAAATCTTATGATCACAAATCACCAAGGTATAAACATAGGCAGTAAATTTATAAGACATAAAAGATTATACAATTATACTGTCAGTTGGCTGAGAAGAAAATGTAAAACTTTAGTTGGAGTGGATTTCAGGAAACCCTACCTCTTCCTTTTGAACAATTCTTGGGAAGGTTGATATGGGAGTTTCTTATGAGAGAGTGCTTGGTGAGCTGGGTACTTCAAGAGGCACATTGAAGACATGAGAAACATCCAATGAAAGGACACCTGTTGGATTTTAGACATACTAGTAAACATGTTGCTTTTGAACTAGGAAAAGAGTAGTAAGGGTTCAGTAGAAAATAAAAGTGTATAAGGAAAATAAATTCCTCCTGTATGTCCTAAGGGAAATATGTACTGTAGTCCTAGAAGCCATCAGGGTGGGACTGGCCTCAATAAAATGGGAGGAAGATCCCATCCCATAATTTAGCAGCAAGATGGAATAATTTCTTTAAGGTGGATGGAAAGGCTTTGATATAGTAGAAGACTGATGTCTGTAATGGCAAGAAAAAATATCAAGGAAAGGAAGGGAGGGATTTTGAAGGGGAAAATATGAAGATTTCACCATTGACTGTCTATTTGTTGTAATGAAATTATTAGATGACTTTAACAAAGTGTAGGTAGAATGTCAGGAATGCAGACGCTGGCTTTAGAGTAAACAGTGAATGGAGAGTTGCCCTTGACAGTGAGCATGGTAGAGTACCAAGATGTTGTTTAGGATCTATCAGACCAGATATTTGCAAGCACCCCAAAGTAGTTGGGTGAATATTATTGAAGAACTGGACTTGTGGTTGGACTTTTGGATCTATGTAAAACTGTAGAGTAGGGATTTTATTTTTGGTGCCACCCATCTTTATTTCTGTGCTTTCACTGGCTTCCTGATGTTGTATGCATATCTCCATCAAGCATCCAGTATCCTGTGTTGCTTTTTGGTGATGGAAGACTCTTTCTGGGCTATCTCTATCCAGGATGATTGGACTGGAAAAAAATTTCTTCTTAAAGTTTATTCTCAGCTAGTTATTGGAAATATTCTAATCATATAATTAAACATATTCTCAGTAAGTGGCGATAGGCTTAAATATTTTTTTTCTTAACTCAGGAAAGATGATGGAATAACCAAGTAGGAGATGTGAGTGTTTCCATATTAGTAGAGGGTAGTGTGATGGGACCCCTTTGAAAAAGAACATGCAGGTGTGATGATACTAGATATAAATAAATGAAACAATTTTTAGCAATTTTTAAAATTTATTCTTTTTTCTCCATTTGATATATTTCTTCCCAAATTGGTCATTTATTTTGATTTCATGAGACTAAATATATAGAGGTCAAACTGGATGCTACACAAACACTTTGGAAACTTTTTGCCAGTATAGGTTAGTTAGGAGGTATGGTTCATGCTATCAGAGCTACAATGGAAAGGCAAAGCTCAACCTTATTCATTAGTGGTGGCTGAAAATGATGGTTACCATTAATGGAGGAGTTCTGAATCCTGAAATGTTTGGGAATAGCTGTTGTTCCTGTTTCCATGTTTCTTTTAATAATTCATTTTAGTGATGAATAGTAGGTCATCATGAAATAAAAAAAGATGAATTAAAAATAAAAGGGCTGTAACACACAAATTTAAACTAAAAAGAAATGACCAGAGCATGCAAGAAGACAAAATAAGTTTAATGACGTCAGTAGAAGAAGTTTAATGTAAAAAGTGTAAAGACTACCTTGTGATTGGATTACTTGATGCCAAAAATAGCAAGTTTTCAATCAGAAATGCAGTTAAGTGATTTTCTGTTCAATCTGGTAAAAATGAATCTTTATATAGGATTGTCTATAATTTAGAACTATTGTTAGTCATAAGTATCTTTTAGGCTATTCCTAAAAAAAAAAAATGTCTTTAGTTATTTGTTTGGAATTTAAGCTTTTATAGCCTAACCCAAATGTCATTTTCTACATACATCTTACACCTCTCTTCTTCAGTTCTCACAAATTCTCACCAAAGTTCACACTTCATACCTTTCCATCCCAGAGCTCTTAATATCTCTGTGTGTAATGCTTCTTTTTTCCCCAGACCCAAAGTCATTTTGCCCCAGGCTACTTGACACTCTAGTTCAGCTCAAGTAATACCTTTTCCTAGACATCCTTTTAAAGGTGGGTTAGTTTTTCCTTTTCATCTCTGTCATTTTTTTATACTTTTGTAGCCTCTTCAATGCTTATACTAATTGATTTTATCTTTCTTCCTCACTAGACTGAGAAGTCAAAGTCTGTCTCCTGTTTATTTCTGTATCCATAGCACAGAGTGTAGTGTCTTGAACATAGGTGAAGTTCAATAAGGTATATGAAAAGAAAAATATTTGGAAGTTTATATCTTTGAAGTTTTTTCTCAGATATTGACTCCTTTATGAAGTCTGCTTTAGTTCTTTCAGTGAAAGCAAACTCTGCCTCAATTTAATTCTGATAACTTTTTCCCCTGAACATTTTTTTATTACAATTATCTTATTATAGCATATATTATAACTATATAGATTTGACATCTTCCCTAGAAGACTGTAAATTCTTTATAGGTAAAGTCCCTGCTAAATCCATTTTTATTAAACATTTTGTTAACTATAGTAGTTACTGTATTATCTTGAACATAGTCAGTATAAATATAGGGTTGAGTTTATTTTTATTTGAAGTATTTCTATTGTAGTGGCTTGTAGAATTTCAATTGTAAAGTGTAAGTAAAAAGTAAAAATGCTATATAAGTAGTTAAATTAAAATCCTCATGAATAAAATTCAGAAAAAAGTATTGTTTTTGAATGTTGGTGTAAAGATGTAAGAATTGTCTTATCTCGGGATAGTATTAACATTCAAAGGGAGATGAATATACAGAGTGATTACAAACACAGAAAGACTTAGGATAAAATCTGGATTTAGGCAATGATAGTGTGAATAAAAAGACAAACTTATGGGGTTGAGTTAATTGAATTGTTTTATGAGGGAAAAATAACAATGCTTGATTTTATAACCATGGAAATTAGATGAATGTTGGATTAACTGGGGGGGAAAATAACAGGTATTGGGAAGGGATAGGAAGAGGTAAGACATTTAAGAGTAGCTTGAGATGCCTTGGAAGCATGGCATGATGATATCTAGAAGGAAAGTAGGAGTGTGAATCTGGAACACAGGAAAAGCTGGGAGATTGGAGATTACTGCATAAATTAAAACAATGAGAACGGATATACGTATAGATTAGATATAGATATAGATATAGATATAGAACTATCTATCTATCATCTATCTATCTATCATCTATCTATCTATCATCATCTATCTACCTATCAAGAAGACATAAGATATAAGTCAGGAAACAGTAAGATATAAAGAGCCTGTGGAAGTAGGGAAGCCACTGAAAGAGACTGAGAAGGGACCAAAGAAGCTGGAGAGAGGGGTTCATACAATGAAAGCTAAAGGGGCTTCCAATAAAAAGAGTGGAATATGAACAAGGTCGTATACCTAAATATGTAATGTTTAGTTAAATTTATTGATTTTTTAAAGGTAGCTCAATAATTTGTTTTATAGAATTCAAATGAATCTGGCATCAATCACATTGAGAAAGCAAAATAATAATAACATATTATTATATATTAAACATATTAATAATAACATATTATTAATAAACATATATATAATAATAACATATTATTATATATTATATATATTAAAATAATAATAACATATTATTAATAACATATTCTGGTAATGTGACATAATTTGAGTACTGACCCAGGTTTATCAAGTATGAAGCACAATAATTCTCCAACTTTTATGCTGGGAGACCTCGTGGAGAATGAAGCTTCCCTTTACAACATTGTACTTTCATATTTTCTAGCTGCCTTGCCAGATATTTTTAATGTACATTAGCAAAGACTTTTGCCAAGTGGGGCAGACAGGTTAATATATACTCCTGCTTGATTAGGGAAGAAGGGCAGGCTGGGAGATTCAAGAGGCCCTGATCAAAGCCGAAGAAAGGATCAAAGGCCTTTTGCAGACATAGCTGGATATGAAACATGATGGCAACCTCTCTCCTCGGATTAGCAAGATCAGAAGATGTGTAGGAGTGAGACCAGGGGTATGAGGTCTGACCTGGTCACAGTCAATTTGAAATATGGAATCCCTTTCACTCTCCTAGGTGAGCCCCTAGAACCTTGTCTGCCATTTCCTTCTTGGAGCTACACCTCCTTTGTGCTTTCTCCTACTCTGGGAGAGGCAGGATGAGGTTCCCTAACATCTGACCAGTTCAGCTACAGAAGAGGCACTTGGTGCCTTTTATTAAAACATAAAATTTAATATAACATAAAATATAAATGCAATACAAGGAAAATATAAAACAAAACAGGTCCTCACAGCTTTTTAAATAAAACAGGTCCTCACAGCTTTTTAAATCTGGAAATTAGGACGTTATTTGGTGACTTTAATGTGAATAGTGTGAGTGGGGTGGTAGAGGCACAAATCAAGTTGAGAAATAGATAGGTGATGAGGAAAGGGACTTCCATGTGTTGGAGGGATGGTATGGGAAAACGAAAATGAGGCAGGCAACTGACTGGCCATGTTCTTTGGGGTGATTACTTGTAATCATAAACCTTT